AAATTGATCACGTGAATCTTTGTTTAAAGAACCTTGTGAAAAATATCTTCAACCACAGTTATGTAAAAGACTCAGGAGTGCAGCTCACGTGGACCTACCTGGCTCCCCGGAGCCTGAGGAGTCTGCGGGAACCGGCCCGGGAGGCGCATGCGCCGGCGCGGGGCCGGGCAGGGGCGGGGGCTCCGGGAGCGCGGGGCCCCGCCCCGCTGCTGGGCGGAAACCCACTAAGGGGGCGGTGGGGGGAGGGTAGGGAGTCATACTGTTGGTAGCGCCGTCAGTTTTTCCTCTAAAGATTAGGCGCCGTCAGCGTGGCTTTTATATCGGTGCTGAGTTTATTCTGTCCATGTTCAAGTTCTCTGACGAATGCCTTGAGTGGAGATATTTTATTTTGTAGATTAATGTGAAGCTTTGAAGGACGCAAACGCTTTTCATGGAATTTCAAGAGCTGGGCTTGTATTTTTCCCCATTCAGAAGTCTAGTTCACGTCAGGGTGAAGGACAACAATGGAATCTTTTTTTTCCCCCCAAGGAGCTTATGCTCATTAATTTAAGTTATCATAACAGAGTAACTTAAGACTTCACAACTTACGTGACATGGAAGGAATAACTTTGGGCTGAAGTATGTAAGGGCCAAATATAACAAACTATTCATCTTTTCCATGGAAAACTTAAGTATGGTCATCATAGCGGAGTTTCTTTAAAGAATACTTGTATCCCTTGGACCTGCTAGGGTGAGTTAACGTAAAGAAAAAAAGAATTTAGACCCTTTAGCTTGTCCTGTAGGCATAGATTGACCTTTATGTGTATACCAGATACAACAGTTTTAATATAGGTGTTAATTAATTAGCTGCTCATTTTGGTAAAAACTAACCAGATGCCTCTTAAGATTGAGTCATACCTAGCCAGCATGTAAGAAGATGTGGGTACTGGGCTTTAGGAAGGCATCTTGGGGGGTTTTGAAGTCTGATGATGTATACCTGTTATACAGGGTTATTACAAGAATTATGTCTGATAACATCGATAAAATGCCTGGAACACAGCAGGTTCTTAATAAATGTTCATCATCCTCTCATGTTACTGATAAGGGCCATATATACAGTTCTTTTAAAATTTTTATACTGGCTCATATAAATACATGCTTTTAGTCATGTTCAGATCTATCCTGATGTTAGCAGTGTTGTTTTATATTGATACTTAAGAAAAGCACTAATAACATGTATTGAAAGTGTATAGTTTCTCATTAGATTGTAGGTTGATGATAATTCAAGAAATAATGCAAATGGTTTTGAATTTCTTTGTGAAACAAGACAAGGTTTAACACTGTTCAAGAGTAGAATAATTGTATCAGAATTCAACTTGCTCCAGTTTTATCTGTGAAATTTAATTTATCCTATGAAGATACTACATTGATAAAATATTCCTATTCAGCTTCCACTAAGAACCAAGTGGAGGCTTGGAGTCTGGGGATTAGGAGTAGAAGTGTGTGTTGGCTGGTGCAGCCTAGCCTGTAAGAATCATGGGACTCTTGGAAGACAGGCTTTACTCATGAAAAGGACCCTGGAAACATTTGGCTATAGGCTGAAAAATGTTTTTGGGAGCGTTAAAGCCTTGATAGATATACCTGAGAAGTTTAAAGAAGAACCTTGAAAAAAGAAAGCAGCCATAACTAGACCCACAGTCACTGTTCTTCCTACCATCCAGTTTAAGCCTCTGCATGGCTGCATGGTCTCCCTACAGACAGTGCAGCAAATAATGTAACAGGAATAGCTCCAGAGCAACTGGCAAGACAGTGCTCCCAGGCAAGCATTAGTAAATAAACATATCCCTCCCCAAAGGAGGAAGCGGTTGGATAGTTGCAGTTTAAGTTGAGGGAGTTGGTATTGATAATTGAGACCCACGTGTCATACAGGAAGTTTAAAATACAGGAAAATTAAAATTTCTAGGAAATATGACATCAACGATGAAATTATATTAAGACTTTTTGTGCAAGTTACTGTGCAGAATTTAATTGTAACTGCATGGTCCATGCTCTCCAGGAGCTTGCTGTTAAGAACAGTAGGATCTGGAGATTTAAACTTTCCACCCATGATATTATTTACAGCCATTTTTTAGTTTAATAAATATGTATTAGAGATCTGTTATGTGCCAGGCACTTTCTTGCTACCAGAGGGATACAGTATTGAACAAAACAAGAAATTCTTCCCTGAAAGAGCTTGAATTCTATAGGGGGAAAGAGAGAAAGAAAAAAGAACAGTGACTTATACTCTGAATGATAAGGGAAAGAGTTGGTGAGTTTTGAGCAGAGGAGTGGCGTGATGTGATTTTGTTTTATCGATATGACTCTGGCCTTTTGGTCTGAAAACACTGTGCAGTGAGATAAGGCAAGAATCAACTGGGAGGCTCTTGGAGTAATCCAGATGGAGATGATGGAGGCTCAGATGACAGTAGTGGTGATGAAAGAAGGGAGACGTAGGCAGAATTTAGATACATTTAAAAAATAGAGCCAACAGGAGATGCTAATGGGTCGACGATGGGGTATGAGGAAAAGAGGAAAGTCATAGATGACTTCGAGTGTTGAACTGTCATTTGGCAACATGGGGAATGCTGTAGGAGCGTCAGTCTTAGGAGGGAACATCAGGAATTTGTCATGGGGTGATGATAAGTGTGAAATGTCTATTAGACATCCAGAGGGAGTCAAGTAGGGAGCTGAAAATATGAGCCTTGAGTTCAGGGAAGAGGTTTAGGCTCTTACAGGTGGTATTTAAAGTGATGAGACCCACTGAGATGACCAAGGGGAGGGAGTACAGTTAGAAAAGAGTTCTGAGAACTCAGAGCCCTGGGTCACTCTAACATTAAGAGGCTGAGATCATGAGGAGAAGTCTAAGAAGAAATGGCCATGAAAGAGGAGGAGAGCCAGCAGTGTGGTGTCCTGGAAACCAAGCAAAGCATGTGTTTAAGAAACAAGGGATCCTGTCTCTGGGGATAACAGTGGTACCTGCCTCTCAAAGGGTGATTGTGATGAACTGTTTAAATGGATGAGATAAACTCATTAAAGTGCCCTGCCTCAGTGCCTGGCTGCTCGGTCGTTCAAAGTGGAAGTCATTTGGTGGCTTAACAGCAGTTTCAGGGGAGCAATGGGGACAAAAGCCTGGTTGGAATGAGTTCAGGTGAAAATGGGAAGAAAGAATTGGAGATAGTAGATACAGTCAGCTCTTTTGAGTATTTCTATGAAACTGGATTAGAGAAATGGAGAGTTAACTCATGGGAATGTGGGGTCAAGAGAAAGTGTGTGTGTGTATGTGTGTGTGTGCCTGTCTGTCTGTCTGTCTCTCTGTCTGTCTGTGTCTTTTAAATTAGGAGAAAGTACAGGCTGTTTATAGGCTGATGAGATTCATCCTACGTAGAGGGGGAAATTGATGATGTTGTTGAATTTGGGATAATGAATTGTTTTGGTCACAGGTTGCCTGGAGTAACTAGATTGTCCTTTGTCCCTTTATCCTCTCCTTCTCAGTGTTTCATTCATTCATCCATCACATATTTACTGAAGGTTCACAGTGTGCCAAGGATCAAGCCAGGGGCTGAGTAAACGGGTGATCAAGGGGTGAATCAAACAGGAGCGATCCCTATGCTCTCTGGGGGAGCTTTTACCATCTGGTGGTAAAAACATCAGATAAATATATACAGATTTCAATGAATGCTTCATAAGAAGAATATGGAGAAAATGTGTTGGTATAATTTAGATTGGGGGGAGAGTGCATTAGAAGACCCTCAGATAGGAAGGATGGTCATGACCGAGAAGGAAAGCATTCCAAGCAGAGGGAGCAGAGAATGCAAAGGCCTGGAGTAGGGGAGAACTTGATACTTTAGGGGATTTGAGGGGTGGCCATTTTGGCCCAAGAGGTAGAAAGGGACCGGGTCGTACAGAGCTTTGGAGACCTTTTAAGATTTTTATATCCTAGGAGCAGTGGGAAGGCATTGATGAGCTTTTAGGTGAGAAGGGACATGGCGATTTTGCATTGGGGGAAAAACCCACCTGTGCTGCATTGAGTCATAGTAGATGGACTGGAGGGGTCAAGAGTGGAAAAGACCAGCAGTTTAGGCAAAAAGTGTCTGTAAAATAGAGAGATGTTTACATCTGAGATGTTTACAATTCTGTTAGTAAGACAGAGTTGAGAATACCCTCTACTTAGCAGAATTTACTTTGAGCTTAGCAGGTTTCTCAGCACCTGCGAAGAGAGCCTTTTTTTTGTTAAAAATAGTATCAGTACAGAAAAGTCAGATGAAGATGTCAGTGATTTCAGATTATTTAACATAAAATAACACTTTAAAAAAGATTCTGGTACTTTGTGAAAAATCTGAAATAATAAACTTGTTTTCAGACTTTTTTCCAGAAAAAATACCAGTGACACAATATTTAGAGACAGACTGTTTAAGAAAATGGATTAAACTACATGAATATATACTGAGAATAATCAATATAATTATGGTATTTTAAGTGTTCATATAATATAAAGAAACCTTTAAATTTTTGCCTTAATGTAGTGATTGTGCATTATTTTTAATTTTTAGAATAAAACCAATATAATAAAAACAGTTTATTGATTAGTAAATATTTCAAAAGTTCCCCTTTTCACTTTGAAAAATATCTTAAGTTTGTATGATAAATTATATGATCAGAGATAGAGGATCTCTACCAGTTGAAGGCTCAGACTGGTAAAAAAGCGATCAAGTTACAGTACAGGATGCATATTCTATTGTGTTAATTTAGGCTTCCACTTAAAGAGCTTTCTTAAAACAGAAGGGCAGTTGTAATACCAAGTATTGCTATATCAGCTCACCCACAACTCCAGGGCTGTGAATTAATTTCTGAGCCCTGACTTGAAAAAAAAAAAGAGAAAAGAAGAAACAGAAGTTACTTCCTACCTAGAGAGTCCACTCCTGAGATTTCCATCTCGGTTGTAACTCCAGTTTTCCTTCTTACACTGGCATTTGATTTATACTTTTCAGGGTGAGAAGAGTTTGGATATTTCACCGTCCGGGGTTTTTCTGCCTCGCTGATGATTTAAGCTCAAGCCTGCCAGTTTTATGGGAGATGATAGAAAACACCCTGTGACCTCTTGAGTAAGTAGATGCTGCCGAGTTTTGTGTTTTACTGCTTTAAAAGAAAAAAGGAAAATTTTATAACTCTAAAGTTTGTAATATTAGGCACTTTAATTGGGTTCTTTAAATTTTGTTGTTGAGTAATGATGGCAATTATTGTAACTCCAATTAAGTGAATATTTTGAAATAATGGGATTCTGGAAGAAATTAATCCCCTGATGATAAAAAAAATTAATGAAAACATTTTCCATGCATATGTGTTAGTTTTAAAAAAGAAACATATAGAGGACCTAACTGTATATATTAAAAATTTAAGAGCATTCTCCTTAGTGCTTTATTTCACTTTTATATTATGAATGTAAAAATATTGGTAGGGCAACTGTTAATGAAATTTTTAAATGCAGCTATATCTATACAAAAATTGTGTTTTATCACAGAATGTATTTTGGTTAACTTGAAATAAATACTGGTTTGTTTCATGGAAATAGAATGTTAAAAATTCTTTCTATTTGAAAATAATGATTCCTCGCCTCCACAAATACAGATGAGATCACAAAATCTCTCTGATTTAACTTTCTTAATGAAAGAGACTTAGAAAGAAGGGCATTCATCCTTTCTAATCAAAACTTCTGAGCGACATTTACCGAGTTGAGCCAGGTATTTTGATGTAAATTGTTTTCCAAAATGAAAGCTACTAGTTATCTTGTTATGTCCATTGAATCTGTTTTGACAAAACTAGGAAACTATGAGGAGGTTGTACCAGGGCCTTGTTTTGGAATACTAAGGTAAAAACTCTTAATAAATATACAAGGTGCTCCCCACTACAGTGGGGTTATTTAATTTTAGTCTGCATCTGTGCTGTCCAGTTTGGTATCCAATGGCCACACATAGCTGTTGACATTTGAAATGTGGCTGGTCCCAATTGGGATGTGCTGTGCATGAAATACATACCACATTTCAAAGACTTAGTATGAAAAAACGACTGTAAATATTTTATTAATAATTTTTATATGAATCATGTTGAAATAATATTTTAGATATATTGGGTGAAACAAAACATTATTAAAATTAATTTCACTTGTTTTCTTTTGCTTTTTTTTTAAAATGTGGCTGCTAGACAAATGTAAATTACTTGTGGCTTATATTTCCAATGGACGGGACTAGCCTGTATCATACACAGTCAGCAGCTTAAGTCATATGTTACTCAGCGTTCTGTAGGCCTGGAACCTTCTGGGTTGTGTATGGATCAATGAATATAAATCTGTATTGTTTCAAGAATATGATTCTTTGATTCATCAGCTATTTACTGAGTACCTCCCATATGCCAGGCAGTATTCTATGCACTGGTGTTATGGTAGTGAACAAAAAACAAAACTTCCTGCCTTCATAGAGTTAACGTTCTGTTAGTGAAATACAGACTAAAAATATGATTAAGTAAAATATATAATCTATTTGAAGGCAGTAAGCACTTTGGAGAAAATGGAAGGGAGAGGTTCAGTTGCAAATAGAGTGTTCTTTTGGGAAGGCCTCAGGGAATAGGTGATATTTGAGCAAAGACTTGGAGAAAGTGAGAGAGAGAGAGCCCTGTACATATTTGGGGGAAGAGTGTTCTGGGCAGAGGGAATAGCAAATGTGAAGACCTTGAGGCAGGAGTGTGCCTGGCTTGTCTGAACGGTAGAAGGAGGCAGGTGACTGATCAATTGGAGTGAAATGAGTAATGGAGAGAGAAGGAGATGGAAGGTGAGCAGTGTTGTTGCCTAGGCAGACACAGAGGTAACCCCTAGGGAACTCGGCCAGAAATAGAAATTTTAAAAACTAAGCAAAAACATCAGAGGCTACACTTCATGGGGGAAGACAGATTCTACACTTCAAGTTCAAGCAACTTAGAAAACTGTCACCTGCTGACTAGCTGAATAAAATGTGATACATCCATGTAATGTAATACTATTTGGCAATGAAAATGAGGTGCTGGTAGGTGCTACAACATGAGTGAACCTTGAAAACAGGCTAAGTGAAAAAAGACAATCGCAAAAGGTCACATATTGCATGATTCCATTTATATGAAATGCCAGCAGTGTACAAACCCATTTATAGTAGCATCCGAAAGACCAAAATACTGTGAAATAAATTTAACGAGAGAAGTGTAAGTCCTATGTACTGAAAACTACAAAATTTTCTTGAGAGAAATGAAAGTCTGCCTAAGTAAGTGGGAATATATATACCATGTTTATAGGTTGGAAGACTCAGTATTGTTAATGCGGCAGTTTTCTCCAGATTCATCTGGGGGTTTAACAAAGTCAGTGCGAAAATCTCAGGCAGGACTTTTGTAGAAGAATATTTATTGGCAAACAGATTCTAAAACTTATATAGGAATGCAAAAAATCTAGAATGGTCAAAGTGACTTTAAAAAAGAAGAAATTTACAGGACTTAGACTAACCTGTTTTCTAAACTTACCATAAAGCTACAGTAATAAAAAACAGTGTAAAACTTGCATATGGAAATACATGTAAATCAGTGGAACAAAATATCTAGAAATAGAAACATATGTGGTCAGTTACTTTTCAACAAAGGTGCTAATAAGATAATCCAATAGGGACAGCATAGTCTTTCAACAAACAGTGCTGCAACAATCCACGTGAAGTAAAGTACCTAGACTTTAACCTTACGACATACACAAAGATGAACTTAAAATAGATCACAGACCAACACGTAAAGAAGAAAACATAGCGGGAAGTCTTGTGTCTTGGGTTAGACGAAGATCTAGTTAATAGGATATAAAAAGCATAAGTATAAAAGAAAAAAAATGATAAATTGGACTTCATCAGAATTAAAGTTTTGCTTTTCAAGAGAACACTGTTAAGAAAATGAAAAATCAGGCCACATACTGTGAGAAAATATAAAACATATGTCTGATAAAGGATTTGTATGTAGAAAATATATAAAGAACTCTTGAAGCTCAATCATAGTATAGCAATCCAGTTTAAATTTTGGATAGACATTTCTCAAAGAAGATGTATGAATGGAAAATAAACACTTGAAAAGAGTTTTAACATCATTAGTCATTAGGGAAATGCAAATTAAAGTCATAATAAGATATTGCTGCACATTCAGTGTAGTGGCTAAAAATTAAAAAGACTCTGATAGCCCATATGTTGACAAGGATGTGGAAAAACCAGAATCCTCACACATTGCTAGTGGGAATATAAATGGTACAGCCCTGTTGAAAAACAGTTTGGCAGTTTCTTAAAAAGTTCAATCCAGCAATTCCATTCCTAAGTATGAAGTCAGGAGATACAACAGCATATGTCTAGACAAAGACTTGTATACAGTGTTCATAGTAACTTTTACTTGTGATTGCCAGAACCCAGAAATAATGTTGTGTCCATCAGCAGATGAATAGGTACACAAATTGTGGCAAATCCATACAATGGAATGCTACTCAGCAATCAAGAGGAATGGACTGTCATATATACAGTGGCATGGAAGAATCTCAGAATAATTATGCTGTATGAAAAAAGCCAGATCTCCCCACCCCAAAGCACCATACTGTTAGATCCATTTAATTGAAATTCTAGAAAATGCAAGCTAATCTATAGTGAAGAGAACAGATCCATGGTTGCCTGAGGATGACTTGAGATGAAGGAGGGAGAAATGGATTCCCAAGGGAGGGGCACAGTGAAACATTGGATGTGATGTATTTATTTGTTATCTTGATTATGCACAATAGTTTCATGAGTGTATACTTATGTCAGAATTCAATACAGTGTGTACTTCAAATATATGCAACTTCTTATATATCAGTTACACCTCAATAAGGTTGTAAAAAATTGTGTCCATTCAAAAACCAAGTATATGCTTGTAGCAGCTTATTCACAATAGATAAAAACTGGAAACAGTTCAAATCTATCAGCTGGTGAATGCATAAATAAAATGTGTGATATCCATATGATAGAATATTATTCAGCCATGAAAAAGAATGAAGTCCTAATTCATGCTACATACTACAAGGATGAACCTCAGAAACATTATGCCAATTGAAAGAAGCCAGAAACAAAGGACTGTATATTGTATGCTACTATTTATATGAGATTTTTAGAAAAAGCAAAGTCATAGATCAGATCAGTAGTTGCCTGCAGCCAAAGTTGGGAGCAGAGATTGACTGTAAACAGGTACAAGGAATCTGTTGGGATGCAGGAAGTATTCTTGTTGATAGTTGTGCAGCTGTATATGTATAAATTTACTAAAACTCATCTAATTGTACAATTAAAATGGATGACTTTCATGGCATGTAAATTATCTCAGTGAAACCACTAACAAATGGGTGGCCACTCAAAATTTTAAATTCTTTTTAAGAGGGCTATTTAAGAAATGAGACAGTATTGCTGATTTCACCGTGCTATATTGCTTTGGAATACTTAGTGAGACCTATTTAATTAATTTCTATGTCAAATGTTCTTTGGATTCTAATTGTGGAACAGAAATCATTATTTGTCTTTCCCAGAATTTAGTGACCAATAACAGCTTTATTTCCCTTACACGTGAACATTGGTTTAGAATGATTGGTTTCATGTTTAATAATTATTAACACCCCCCCACTGGAAGAAATGGTAGTTTCTTAGATTGATAATCTGTTCGTGCACAGTAGTTCAAATGTGTAGCTTACCCTCCACCTCCTAGTTTTTTGGGAAGGAAATTGATCACAGCTTAAGATCTTTCCTTTTTTCAGATACAGAGAGGTATACCTGTCTAGGCCCTGGGTGCCCACCCATCTGTTCCCAACCCCATATATATGGAGATGGCGGGTAATCTGGAATAAGGTCCTTGGGGTTGGGAGATAGAGTGCAACCGAGAGAAGTCCCTCTGGGGTCCTTCCCAGAGGGGTCCAGCCACGTTCTGCACAGGAATAGGGATCAGGATCTCTAGGGGCATAGGGCTTCATACCTTTGCTCCTGCAAGTCCTCATAGATAAAATAGGAGATTGAATTTTACCTCCTTAGATAAAAGTAGGTGTCTTT